CCTTCCGTTGCTTTCTACTTCTGCCTATTCCTCGAATTCCTTGATTTTTTTTGTCAGACTTCTCAGTATTCTACTCTCTAATTAGTTATGTTCCAAATGAAGATTATCCACGATTTTCTTCAAATTTAGGCTTTCTTTACGTATTTTCACGTTTTCCGACACCGGGCTATCGACTTTGACTTCAAGAGCATCAATCCTAACTGATGCTTCCGTCAAGTTGATTTTCCTGATCTAAGTTGTTGTCGATTTAACAAAAACAAAAACAGAGCTGTACACACGGCTGTTGTCTGTAGGCGAGAAATGATCTTACTATGCAGGATTCCGCGGTCAACTTCTCAGCCACTCTTTTAGCTTCCCTGTCACTTAATGTTCTGCCCCAAATGTGTAGTGACGGTATTGCCAAATGGAACATTACAATACGAAATACACAATAACAAACCACACCACACACGCACACCAACTAGACAGCTCACGCACACCACACAACACCAACACACACACACGACACACACCACACCACACACCACAACACACCACATACAAACACACAACCCATCGACAAACACGCACACTCACCACAACACACACACATAACAACCACGACACACGCACAACATGCACACAATAAAAACACACAAACACATACAGCAAAAATATAAATAAATTAATATAAAAGATATAAGAAAAATTAGAATATATATTATATTAGTTAAAATAATATTATACTACCCTAACTTTTAACCTACACATATACATAATCATATCACAATAACCTATCCTATCACTTTTACGCTAAGACCATATTATATGGGATCTTACATAAATTATCGAGCTATATATTATTATAAATCATATTGTTCTTTTAAATTTGTACTTTATAGTATTGTATTACTTTATACAAATATGTCTTCGTTTTATGAGTATATAATAATGTTAGCGGTATAACACCTGCGTTTTTGTATTACACAGATCACAACTACACACACACACACACCACACACACACACACACACACCAAACACAAACATAATAGAGATATATATTATATATATATAATATATAGAGATATACTATAATTATAGTATACATTAATTATATACATAGTCATATATACATTACATACATTTATATATATAATATATTATAGATATATATTTTAATATACGGTAAATATATTTATATAGTATTATATAAGCTACTACCTCCGACAGTCGTCATTTATCTAGTCCTTACAGTATATTTAGGGCTATCCGAGTGTTTAATCTCTGAGCCTGCTTCCATCTGCGCATGTTCGTGCACGCTGAAACCATCTGCAAGCACCAGTTCTAGGATCACTACAAAATTCGGCGCTGAAGGTATTACGATACTTCCAGCAGTCCAAGATATTGTCACAACTCACTAGCATTGTGTGATGACAAATGCGTTAATATTTATAGTAACAGTTCACTTTGTTATATTTTTTTACAATATATTTTTTTATATATTTTTTGATTATTATTTGTTATTATATTTTGTCTGTTTGTTGATATTTCATAACACGTCCAAAACTTGGGTTTTTCTGACAAAATAAAGACAAAGAACAGCTGAAAATACACTGGCAAGGAAGTTTGTAATAATCTAAAACATAAAATATATTTGTAAAATTAGCAACATGATATTTGGCATTTAAACATCTTCCTTTTGTTATTGTGGACCAGCGAAAATCCGCGAACTGGATTGAATTAAATGGCTTACTGTGTTGGTTGAATGATAAATCGGAACTGATTCGGGCTAATACAGATCTCAAAGAAATTGCGAAAAATGATTGTAGCACAGCAAATGGATGACCATGATGATATATATAAAAAGAAAAGAGTAACCTTCTAATTGTCGAAGGTTCGTTATTTGTTTTATCAAAGAAAGATAAGTGACTACAGAATCAAACACCAACTTAAAATTCCAAACAGTGATAAGCCATTATCTGAAAACGGCAAATAATTTCGAGATAAGGGCCACTCGAAACACGCAATTGTTCCCAACTAAGAAAAAAAAAATAACAAAAAAAAAAATAAGACACACGCATTCCCACACAAGAAAAAGAGCTGTGTTTTTTGATTTCTCGTTTATTAATTGTGTGTGGTTGTGTGTGTGTGTGTTGGTGTGTATGTGTGTGTGCGTGTGTGGTGTGTGTGTGTATGTAATATATTAATACTATATAGATTATATATATATAATATATATAATTAATATCATACACGCATTGTACCCACCAAGCAAAAAAAAAAACTCTACACACGCATTCCCACTTTACAAGAAAGATAAAAAATCAGACTCACATCGCATTCTTCCACACAATGAGAAGAAAAAAATATACTCTAAAAAATTAAAATACTATACTAAACTCAACTAAAATCACCACTTATTACTCTACACATACGAATTAATATATTAAAAATAATAAAAAAACAAACATCAAAAACGATCCACCCAGAAACCCAACCCCGGATCAATAACCCGCCAATAATCAAGCACAACCGCAAGATGGATCCTCCTGGTGTACAAAACCGCGTGCACTCCACGAAGACAGGCGAAGTCCAAGCGAGAGTTCTCTACTAGCATCGACATCTAGCCATCTTCCACTATAGAAGTGAAAAAAGAAATCTCGCGGCGAGTAAATAAACTTTTACAGCTACCTTCTCCAACAGATTGAGACCGAGCTCATAGGGTCGAGCACATCACGCTCGGCTAGAAAACTAAGATGCTTTAGTAAGGATATACCAATTTATGCTTTAGACGTTATTGATTGTTAGGTAGGTAGGTGGTTTATTAGTGTCTATTATAAGTATCGGACTGGAAAGAGAGGTCAACTTACTGATTTTGAGTTTGAATCTTCATTAATAGTCCATATTTAAATAGATGAATTAAATAGTGATATGATAATGTACTCATTAATATAATCTTATAGTGCATGATACACACACTCAAAGTCACACATTTATTTGATGTCATATGATCACTAGCACACTCTATTACACACACACACACACACATACATATTCCTATTTTTGTGTAATATTTTGATTATTCTTCTACGCTTCACCTATTATAGTAAACTATTTATTAATTATAATAAGTTATTAAGTTTAAGTAGGTATATTATTATATATATATATATATACATATACTATATATATATATCATAACTACTATACATACATAACATCATAATATATGTCAAATCACTACAACACACCATACAATATTGTATATATTAATATATAGTAATATATTAATTATATTTAATATATATATATAAAATACATCATATTACTATTAATATAATATATATCTATTATTTTATATAATATATATATGTGTGTGTGCTGTGATGTACTCGCATACTACCCTCCAAAATAAATATAAAAAATATATATAAATTAAAAAAATAATAATTTCACAATATGTAGTTATGTTGATATATATAATTAATAAAGATTTAAATATTTATATGTATAATATAATATATGTTATATGTTTTGTAAATTATTATGTTATCTTAAAATAAAATAATATATAATATGATCATATATTAATATGATTATATACTATATAATAAAATTAATTACTTTATATATATAATAATATAATCAAATTATATATCATTATATTAATTAAGTTAATTGCTAATAACATACATTAATCTATCTACTACTTCTATCAATATCTTAATCTACTATTACAATAATCTTTACGATTAATAATATATTATCTATTCTACCTTATATCTATATCATAATCATTACAAAATAATACTATAAAATTTATATTAATATAATTATATATTAATATATATATATTTAATATTAATTGCATATGTATATAACATATATACATAATCAATCTATTATATCTATATATTTTTCTATCGAATAAAATCTACAATTCTCATCTATCTTCTATCTAAATCTCTCTCTACTCTTCTCTCGTCTTCCTTCTCTCATCTCTCTCTCTCTCTATATAGTATATATTAATATCATACTATGCTATGTATATCACAATTAACTTATACTATATTTCTAAAATTATTCACAAGATACCTCTATTATTTAATCCCCTATTCTATATCCCTCATCATCCTATCTACTATCGTTATATCCTTATTGTATTAATATTTTTTTTCAATTACTCAAATATCATAACTTCATAATCTATATCATTTAATCATATCTATATATAATATAAACAACACCTAATATAATTATATATATGATAGTAATATCAATACAATCTATCGCAAGTCATCTAATATAATATTAAGAATATGTATATTGATTAAGCCTATATTTATTTAATAACCATTATGTATTATACATACATACTTGTGTTACTTTGGTCTATATAGAACTATCATAGATAGATTTACAATAGAGTATGTGGTATAGATAAATGATAGATATCATGAATGTTTTATGTATACATAATATTAATACATACCAAAAATTTATTATTATAATATTATGTATTACCTGAGAACTATTTAATATAACCATGTAGTATTAAAGTAGGTAACTATAGTATGTGTGTTTTGCTGGATGTGTGTTGCGACGTCGCGCGCTAGGCAATTGTGGCATGGTTATAAGACAGGACGAAAGTAGTAAGAGCCTATTGTAGATGATCTCAGTAGCAACTAGTTATAAGGTCGAATTTATGCTGTGCCAGCATGAGTCTGGGAACACGAAAAGTAACTTCTTGTTGCCAACGCGAAACAGAGACGGAGAAGGTGAACTGCCAAGCTCTATTGAGCAGGGCTTCCAGCCGCGTTCCCGTCTACGTCAGGAGTGCAATTACGACACTAACATGAACTTCACGATCGTAAAAGTAGACATCTTTTGTGGGGTTTTCGAAGATTTCGTTGGTGTCACGCAACTCTGCTCTGAGTAATGTAAAGGCAAATATTTTTAAAAAATCAATAATCATCCTGGTGTTTGTGAATAAAATCAATTTGTGCACCCTTGTGGAAGATGTGTAAGATAGAAATTGTGGAGAACCTGCAAATCTTTATTCCTGGGAGGTTTATGCTAGAAGAGAGTTCCTCTTGTAGGCGTTTGAGTGTAGAATATTTGCCAAGAACCTCAAAATAATTTAGATCGAGAATATGATTAGAGTTCACCCTGTAAATTTTTTATTGGACAGAATACCGTGGGAGTGAAGTAGATGGGTTTGCAGTTTTTATCGCCGCAGCCTCCAGCTTATTTATCATTATGTTTCAGTATTTTATATGTTATTTTATTTTTCATTTTTGTTTTCTGGTTTTTTATCCCAGAAATCGCGCGAATTTTCTGATTTTGTTCGGTTTCATATGCAGGACCAGTTTACAATAAGTAGATAGTAAGATAGTAGAAGCGAATTTCAATAGCCTTTATTTTTTACTATGAATACAAAAATATAATTCTACGCAAAATTATTTCACTGTTTTACCATACTTTTAAGAGTAAAATGTACCTCACAGAAAAGCATATTAATAATTTAACTCGCAAGGAAGCGAATTCAGGACAAGAGATTGTAGCCATAATGAAGATATAATATACTTTCTTACTTAAGATAAACAATTGACTCAAGCTTAATACATGATATTTTAGGACTGGTTAATCTAGAAGACTTAATTTCCACCGAAAATCAGAAATTTTTTAGTAATGATAACCCGCAAATAGTTATTTAAAGGTATTTTGAAAAAAAAAAAAAAACGACGGAAATATAAAGCATACATAAAAAAACAACATCTTCTATTGCAATATTCTAAAACATTAAACCCTAGTGAAGGATTTCCATTTTTTTTTCGTGTTTCTGAAATTATTATAAATCTTGGTCTGGGATTCAAGTTATAAGTTAAGGAACAACATGTTTTTCTTACAAGTCTTTCCACTTCAATGTAAAACCTAAGACTCGCCTCTCTTTTCTTGGCGTCCAACAGTTTCAATAAGACGCAGCCCCTATATATAAACATGGTACGAGACCCAGTGGAACGAGTCATCTCATGGCACTACTATGTCAGAGCCTCGTGTACATTGTGCATCGACTGAGGACTTTCCCTGAGATGTCTCCTCCTCCAGTTCCGTGGCTGATAAAAGGTAAACAATGCAGTGAATTAACTTTCATATGAACCGTATTCATGTTGACAAATGTAGAAAGGTATGAATGAGAATGAATATCTTCACAATACAAGAGATTTATTTAACTGGTTTCGAATATGTCTTCGTCAGAAATCCATGTTTTCGAAAACGGTTAGAATACATCTCTTGTATTGTGAAGATATCCATTCTCATTCATACCTTTCTACAACTTTTATTACAACTTTCATTTATGAATGAAAATATCACACGTGGTTGTTTCTGAACATTCACATTATGTTTTCTCTGAATCTTAGGATTTTGAGACATGCGTTCTGAATAGAGATGTGGAGTGTCGCTACATCGAGGGGGCAAGCGTTCCTGGTTTTGCTCAACTTACTCATTTCTTTTGCGGCCAACAAAAGGAATGCAGGTTAGTTTTTTAGTTTTTTATTCCATTCCTGAAGGCCCTATCACACTATCACTTTTTCCGTCATTTTGTGCGTTCCGAATGAAATTTTCCGCATAAAATCGCCTGACCCATGTAAACAAACATGGCGCTGTCGGAGTGAGGTCCCGGGAATCACACGAACATTCTCATACATAGTACGTTATTTTGAAGAAATATGATGATGTATATTGCAAATACGAATGTTCTAAATATTAGCTTATGCTTACATTCACTCATCCTATCTCTAATTAATAATAACACAAGAGCAAGACGGAAATTAGTCAGACGGAAACGGTCGTAACCGTCTTCGTCTGGGAGGCGTTCCGGTTGCAGACGATACTTGCGGAAAGCCTCAGATTCAGACGGAAACGCAAAAAATTGACGGAAAAAGTGATAGTGATAGGGCCTTAATTAGACTAAGGCATGCACTATAGATTTAACAAAATATCACTTTTGCCTACAGAAAAGACGGAGAATGAATGTAGCCAATACCCATTTCTTGCGTGAAATCAGCGACTACTTTTTCACCATGTACCAGGAAATTCAACACGGAGGCCGCTCTGCAGATGGCGAAGGAGAACGTCGAGCGCTACTATTCCGTCGTCGGTGTGGTGGAGGACCTGAACGTCACCCTCGCCGTTCTGGAGCATTACGTTCCTAGGTTCTTTAGGGAGCCACGGATCTGTACTGGGTGTGTAGCTCCTCCTCCTGTTACTAGTACGACTGAGATTAAGATTATGAGAAGGTTTTCCTTAATTGGGATTTTATATAATCTAATGATATATTATTATTCTTTTTTCTTTTTCTTTTCTTTTCTTTTCTTTTCTTTTCTTTTCTTTTCTTTTCTTTTCTTTTCTTTTCTTTTCTTTTTTCTTTTCTTTTCTTTTCTTTTCTTTTCTTTTCTTTTCTTTCTTTTTTCTTTTTTTCTTCTCCTTTTCTTTTCTTTTCTTTTCTTTTCTTTTCTCTTCTCTTCTCTTCTCTTCTCTTCTCTTCTCTTCTCTTCTCTTCTCTTCTCTTCTCTCTTCTCTTCTCTCTCTCTTCTCTTCTCTTCTCTTCTCTCCTCTCTTCTCTCCTCTCTTCTTCTCTCTCTTCTACTTCTTCTTCTTCTTCTTCTTCTTTTCTTTACTACTAACACAATTGTATTTGACCTTGTAGGCGAAATAAAACGATTCTCGAAGGTCAACCGGAAAACGCCTTCAAGCCATCGGTCCGGAAAGGATCAAGAAATGTGTGCGAGGAATTTTACGAGAGAAAAATGAATTCTACGACTTCTGCAAACGTCGCGTTGTACAACAGTATGCTGCTCTCAGGCTTAGGGCTTGTAAAGTACGTACACACACGCACACGACATTCGCACAAACAACATAGCCACACACATACACAACACATATATGTATTACACCATACAACACATACAACACACCACACACAACAGCAGCAACATTATATATATATCTCTCTTGTATTTATACCCACACACAAGCAAACAACATAATTAAAAGCCCATATATCCTTGTATCGTATGACTTACCCAACAACATTCATAGACATAATATGTGGTGTGCATAGTCATACATAATGATGTCAAATTATTCATATTATTATGTCATTAATCTATGTGAGATTATAGCTATATTAATTATACCTAAATCTACGATATAACATGATATAGGTGATATATTATAGTCGTAAGACAGCGTTCTATGATGAATGAATCTGCCAATCTCGTAAGTTAACTAAGAGAGAGTAGGAAAAAAGAAATTGACCAAACGAACGTTAAATATAAAAGTCTGAATCTTGCACATAAGATATTATGTAAGACTTTTGGTATTCTGGATATACACGTACGTATGAACAGAATAAATATGTTCAAATTGTGTTTAATATTAAGATTAGCCCTTTGAGTTATCTATACATTATATGAGTATATATATATATATTTAAAAACTTATTTTATCTAGTACAGTTTGTATTTATGTAAAGATTAACAAGAAAAACGTTTGTAAACCTACGATATTTGTTAAACTAATGCGTGTAGAAGACCTGTTAAAATGAGTTCTTGTTTTTTTTGGTTTCAATTATTATTTGCCATAGAGGTCTATCTTCAATAAATAGACCCACACACCCACACTAAGTCACAATACAACTGCTTAAAAATAAACATACCATAAAACAAAGAATTGAAGCTACAGGACAAAAACAGACCCCCACATAGGAAATATATCTTTCAATTTTCCTAGAAACCAATAAGTATGAGGCGAGACCAAGTGAAAATTGAGATCAGAATATACACGTATGACGTAACATGTTTATCCCCTAAAATAAAAACAAGATTCTACTTACCTAATCGACTAACCCCGGTATCCATTAAAATAAATATATACAAGATTTCGTACTTTACAATATTCCGAACTACTATCCTAAAATTTTAGAACAGATTCTACTTACCAAATCGATACTATCTAAAAAATGAAAACAAATATTCTACTATACAATCACTTACTGATCCCCTAAAATAAGAAAACAAGATTTCTTACTGTACAATCACTACTATCCTAAAATAGAACAAGATTCTACTTACAGAATCACTACTATCCTAAAATAAAACAAGATTCTATTCTACTTACAAGATTCTACTTACAATCACTACTATCCTAAAAAAAAACAAGAAGACTATCCTACTTACAATCACTACTATCCTAAAATAAAACAAGATTCTACTTACATTCATACTATTCCTAAAATTAAAACAAGATTCTACTTTTACTATCACTTATCCTAAAAATACAAGAGTTCTACTTACAATCACTACTAATCTTAAAATAAAACAAGATTCTACTTACAATCACTACTATCCTAAAATAAAACAAAGATTTCTACTTACAATCACTACTATCCTAAAATAAAACAAGATTCTACTTACAATCACTACTATCTAAAACAAGATTCTACTACAATCACTACTATCCTAAAATAAAACAAGATTCTACTTACAATCACTACTATCCTAAAAATAAAACAAGATTCTACTTACAATCACTACTATCCTAAAATAAAACAAGATTCTACTTACAATCACTACTATCCTAAAATAAAACAAGATTCTACTTACAATCACTACTATCCTAAAATAAAACAAGATTCTACTTACAATCACTACTATCCTAAAATAAAACAAGATTCTACTTACAATCACTACTATCCTAAAATAAAACAAGATTCTACTTACAATCACTACTATCCTAAAAAATAAACAAGATTCTACTTACAATCACTACTATCCTAAAATAAAACAAGATTCTACTTACAATCACTACTATCCTAAAATAAAAACAAGATTCTACTTACAATCACTACTATCCTAAAATAAAAACAAGATTCTACTTACAATCACTACTATCCTAAAATAAAACAAGATTCTACTTACAATCACTACTATCCTAAAATAAAACAAGATTTACTTATACAATCCACTACGATCCTAAATAAAACAAGATCTACTACAATCACTACTATCCCTAAAATAAAACCAAAGATCTTACTTACTAATCACTACTATCCTTAAAAAAAAACAAGATTTCTACTTTACCATAATCTATGATAACTATCCCAAAACTAACTAACATATGAAGAATTCACTACTTACCTCAACAATCCTGATACACACCCATTAATCCTTAATATTAAAACAAGAATAATACTTACATCTACCTCTAAAAAATATTAATATCCATTAATCATACAAGAATATCTTACTTAAGACTCTTAGACAATCACTTATATCCTAAAAAGTTAAAACAAATGAAAGGGTTCCGTATTGAACCCGCATTACAATCACTCCATATCCTTTAAAGATAAAACAGATTCTATTACAATGCAGCTTACCTATTCCTGTAGAAATATTAAACAAGATATCTACTTACAATCACCTACATTATTCTCTATGAGAAAAAAAAAACAAGATTATACCTTACAATCACTATATCCCTAAAATT